TAGGAAGAAAAAATGAGAGTATAAAGAGATGTGCGAAAGGAAGAAGAAGGAAAAAAATGAGAGATGAGAGAGAATGGCGAAAGAGGCGAAAAGGGAAGGCGATGTCTGGTCAATAGTAAACAGGAAGAGAAAGAAGAAAAGGAGGATTAACGAGGGAATGGAAGAATTGAAGGAGCATTTCGCGAAGCTATTGGGGGGGGGTAGAGAATAAAATGATAGGGGGGGATAGAGAAAAAGGAAGATGGAAAAAGGAAAGTAGGAGAGGGAGATGATGAAATAGAAATAAGTAAGGTGAAGATTAGGAGAGTGATAGATGGATTAAAAGAGGGGAAAGCAGCAAGAATAGATAGAATTCCGGGAGAAGTATGAAGATTTGGAGGGGAGGGGATATACGGGACTGGGTATGGGAGTTTTGCAACAGGATTCGAAGGGGAGAGAATTGGCTACGAAGCTGGGAGGAAGGCGTGATTGTACCAATATTGAAGAAAGAAGGAGGAGAAAAGATGGAGGAGTATATAGGGGTCACACTAATGCCAACCTTGTACAAGGTATATGCGGCAGTTGACAATCTTGTACAAAGTATATGCGGCAGTTTTAGCGAAGAGATTAAGAGAGGACGTTGAGGGAATAATTCGAAGAAATCAGACAGAGTTCAGGAGGGGGATGGGGACAATAGATAACATATCTGTGATAAATTACTTGATTAACAGGAGGATTGAAAGGAGAAGGGGAAAGCTGGTAACTCTATGTGTGAATCTCAAGGTGGCGTCCGATTCAGTGAACAGAGGAGTGCTAGAAACCATGAAGGAGAGAGGAGCGAAGGAAGGATTGAGAGAGAGAGAGTGGAGGAATTACTGAGGGAGATAAGAATCAGGGTTGGCGGAGTGACGGGAGGAAGTTTCTGGATCACAAGAGAGGTCAGGCAAGGCCACTGAGCCCTCTGCTTTTCAGCATCATGATAGCATCATGATAGCATCATGATTTAAAGGAAGAAATGGGGAAGGTTAAATAGGGGGGAGGGCGAAACTGGAAGGGGAAAGAGTATACACCCTGGCATATGCGAACAATATAGTGCTGTTGACAAAGGAGGATGACATGAGGAATATGATGGAGAGACTGGAAAGATATCTAGATAAAAAAAGAATGGAATTAAACGCAGACAAAACAAAAATTATGAGATTTAGGAAGGGGGGGAGGAAGGATAGCAATGGAAAGGAAGGATAGTGGAGGAAGTGAAAGAGTTTAGATACTTGGGATACACGTTGCAAAGAAACGGAAGGCAGGAAGCACATATAAAGGAAAGGGTTAGGAAAGCGGCGGCTATGGGACAGGTATGGAGTATTGGAAAGAAAAGATTCAGAGGAGATTGGAGCAGGAGGCTGTGGTTATTTGACAGGCTGATATGGACAATAATGGGATACAGAGTGGAAATTTGGGAGTGGAGGGAGAGGGAGGCAATAAAAAGGTTGGAAGAGAGATATATGAAGTGAGTGCTGGGAATGAACGAGAAAACGCCGGGGTACTTAGTTAGGGAGGAACTATAGAAGGATAAATTAAAAAGTAGGGCGGAAATGAGGGTGTGGGGCTATGAAAAAAGGCTAGGCGAAGGGAGAGGAAGAGAGTTAGCGAGGAGATGTTAGGAAGAAGTGAGAGACAGAGGCAGAGAAGAGAAAGGATCCTCAGGGTGGAAAAAGGACAGGAAAGAATTCTGGGACGATAAAGAGGGCTGGAAGAAGTAGAGAGAAGGACAGAAGAGGGGGAGATAAGTGGTGAAGAGATAATAAGGAAAGAAAAAGAATCACAAATAAAAACAAAGAGTGGAAAGATGGGAATAGATAAGAGATCGAATTATAATAAATGGTACAGAGAGATAAAGGGTGAAGAAATACCAGGATACTTGAAAAACGGATGGGAGGGAAGAGTTCAGCAAGCTCAGGCTGGGAAGCGAGATAAGAGAAAGCAGATTTTGGGAAGAAGAGGAAAAACTAAAATGTAGGATTTGTGAAAAGGAGAAGGAAACTTGGGAGCATATATGAGAAAGCTGCAGTCAGAGGGAAGAGGAGAGAGGGGGATGACAAGAGAGTTGTGACGTCAGGAGAGCCAATGGGTAAAATTTTTCCTTCTCCTTTTTATCCCACCTGCGCAGAAGCGCCATTATTCTAACCGCCGAAGTTGGCAACAACCGGCTCTCCTGCCGTCAATGTACCACGTGATGCGCCTCACCGCCAGTACACATACACCATAGTAAAAATAAGTATTATATAGGCAACCTCATAGGTTGCAAATTATTAAATAACCGATAATAGTAAGCATTTTTCCTAAAATAAGTAATAAAATTAAATAATAATAATAAATAAAGTAATAAATAGTAATAACAATTACCACTTTCCTTACTCATAGCATAATCACCGCCGCTAATTTACACCGTTAAATAATAATAATACTAATAGGTTAATAGTTAATAATTAATAATAAATTTAATGACAATAGTCAGATTAATAATTAGTATGTCAAATATAACACTTACATCAATAACAAAATCATGTTAACAATAAATCTAATTAATTGCAAGATTATTACTACAACAAAGCTCGCGTTACTGTTGCGCGCATCATCTCCAGTCAGCCGCGCGCTGATTGGCCGACCAACGATCACTATAGATATGTAACATCTAGCTTAGCTCTATAGTCTATGCTGCCGCCAACGCCACGTGCGTTGGCGTACCCACGCTACCGCCATGTTGCGTAACAGCGCCGCCGCAGGCACGCGTTGCAGCGCGCGGCCATACTCGTTCACTCTTGTGCGCGTCGTCGATCAGTGAACACCGCGCGTTCCTAAATCCTTGTCTCGTTCAAGTCTAAGTGTATTTAAATCTCTAGATTTAGTTCAAATCCTAACTATTAATATTTCAATTTCTAGTTTAATATATATATTATTAGTATTCCGTACCATCTTGTTCGTGAGTGTAAGTAAATTCAGTGAATATCTAAATATATCGATTTTTACTTAACGCCACGTGTCCTTCATTATCTCATCCCTTGTCTCCGAGATTCCGATAATAACGGATGTGTTCGCGAGGCTAAAGAGGTAACGGGCGTTCATAATAACTCAAGTCTTCTTTTATCGAATAATTAATGGCTAAAGCAAGAATTTCGATCGTTTCTGGGGGCAAGGTGTTGTGCGTCATCCGCACTTATCACGAAGGAAACATCGGACTTCGAGCACATAGTTCCTGCATTCCAACGCGACGCCGAACCAATGCGTAATTGGCTCGCAGCCGAATGTAATATCCCAACCGAATGTAATATCCTAACCTTTTCATTAAATATAATATACGCCTAAAGCCTCTGTCGAATGCCTAAGCCACGGAAAAATTGCGCGGGTCGTAACAATGCACTTCGGCGACTCGAATACGACCGCCGCGATTTACGACCACAATGCAATCATCGGCGAAGGAGTGACTTACGACGGCGAGTACGAACTCCTCGTGCATGATCGCCTCTGAAGCGCCCTGCCAGCCCCATCCGTGCCTGTAGCAGCTTACCAAGGAAGCAGTTTTCGACCACGTGTCTCCCTCGAAGAGTATCTGCGTAGAGCAAACACCGAAAGGTAAGTGAGAATTATGCATTGAGTTTTATTTCCGGTTGCTTTCGCGTTTTCCCACCGAGCATACGTTTACACCGGTGAAATATAGAGTATACGTATAAGAAAATTAGATGTAAACGAATATAAGTATATCGTCGTGCTCCGGATTCTTTCGGTTACATCATTCGCTTTGTTCGCGTCGAGCGACCGTCGCATAGTCGCATCACTCGATCGGAAAGATTTTACGATCGACCCTTTTTTTTGACTCCCTTGCTACTTTCCCTTAAGGCATGCAGGGTTTTGAGCCGCTTTACCGTTGCGTATAGAAATATTCTAGTTTCGAAATATTATTTAACGTTGAATATTCGTCGCGTAATGTTAACACACGTTATTTGACGTAATGTGCCCGCCTTGTTTCCTCGAGCCATGAGACTCACGCATTCACCCAGCCGCCGTATACAAATATCGTATGAGTACGGTGCGTTGCCTTACCACATTTGGATATCGACGCGTAGACGACACTACCGCCGAATCGTTCCCTAACAGTGCCGCATATCTGTGCTTTCGATGCAAGGAAGAAATACCAGAAGGGACGCTTACGTATCGTCTGGAACTGGCCCACGCGTTCCAGTTTGGGTACACTTCCGCCCGGGATCATTGTGATAGCTGCCGTACCAGTCTCGTGATAGTCCGCGACATCGGCTTTGCCCCGAATGCACCGAGGTTTTTATCGTATCTCTGGAAGTACTCAGGGAATTAGGTAACACCATAGAAAACATCTGCGGACGATATTACCTTGACGATATTACCTTGACGAATCCCGCTCCCAACGGCATTTTATCGCGCCGGCTAACCAATTTCTCCGTTTCACTGATCCGCTCACGGTCAAATAATTACTCGACGTCGGTTTAATCGCAAGGTCAGCCGCGTAATTTGCTGAAATTCCTCGGGAGCGTTTTCAATAATTTGCCGCCGAGCTTATCGGAGGGGTCCCCACGGTCTTGATGTAACAGAGTATCTGATGGGTACTGGGTGATGAAGGAAAGTGAGAATAGTAGATGAGAGAATTTGAGAAGGTGAAGATAGAAGGAAGAGGGATAGAGAGAAAGAGAAAGAGAGAGAGAGAGAGAGAGGAGGGGAGGGAGTAGTAGGTAGGCGACGACGTATACGTTCGTAAGTAACGAAGGTAGTAAGAAGACGAGAGGAAGGAACGGTACGTAACACGTAGTACGTGTAGTGTGTGTGTGTGTGTGTGTGTGTGTGTGTGTGTGTGTGTGTTTGTATGGAATCGTTCGGGGATCGGCGTGGGGGACAGGATGCCAAAGGTCCCTCACCACGGACGATGCCGAACGAATTAAGCGGGAGATGCGATCTAGGTTAAATTAGCATAAGTTAGTGTAAATTTAGTTATAAGATTAGACATAAACATGTAACAGGAGAATTCTAAACCCAAGGGGGTAGATACTACTACTGCTACTACCATTACCAGTACCACTACCATTACCACTACCACTACCACTAACACTACCACTATCACTACCACTACCACTACCACTACCACTACCACTATCACTATCACTACCACTATCACTATCACTACCACTATCACTATCACTACCACTACTACTACTACTACTACTACTACTATTGGAAGATACAGCTATTAAAGCAGTGGGTTGTTACGTTACGGGCCACGACAATCCACGGAGAGGGATGCCGAGCAGCACCGGACAAGGGGGATCACATCTGCCGGTTGGCAACGCTGCCAGCGATCGAGCGGCAAATCGCTAGCGACGAATTGGTCGAACTGCGAAAGTATCACGTACTCCTGACTGCTTTTTATTCTTAGCGTTGAAACAGCGAGAGAGAAAAATTTAATAAACGTCGCGAAATGATGACGTCAGATGCAGGATTTGACTCGTCGATGTAAAAACGTCCCTCGACGTTTTCGATAGGTTCTCCCTCTTCCTCGAGCACGTGCTGGGCGGCTATGTATATCTCAGAGCATTCGTCGCAATGTTCTATCTCACGGATATAATTGAAAGAGGAGCGCAACAGCACTCGCAGAAATCTAGGGGTTCGGTATATCCGAATTTAAATGAATGCGACAGGGTGAGACGATAAGTGAGCATGCCCTCGGGTATCAATTCCTTGCACTGATAACAAAAAACTTCCGCGCTGTTAGGAAAACTACTGGCGGCTGAGTTGTTCACGCGACGATAATCGAAAGCAGTAATGCAGCGTACTAAACTGACGCGATGTCTGAAAGCCGCACCTGGATGAGTGCGCGAGTTGCGTGCGGTATTAAATCGAGGAAGGCACATCACGGCGATTAATTAGTAATTTCGATAAATGCGAGGCGCGTTCGTGCATGTTGCTAGATAATATTTCAGAATATTTTGGAATATTTTGGATTGAGAAATCTGAAACGAACACTGGAAAGAGCATTCCTCGAGTAAAATCGACGCACGGAGCAAAAAACTGTACCCAAAAAAAACAAAGGGTCGGTCGTAAAACCCTTCCGGCCGAGTCGCTTTCTTTATTTTTTGTGCGATAGATGGTCACGTTTACATTGACGCAACGAAATTCTTCTACGATGTAAGCGTCATTCCGAAATATACACGTGGCGCGTAATTTTCATATATTGTTTAATGAGATAATTGCAATACACGCGGCGAAGCCCTTACATTTAAATCAACGAGATGACGCGAGGATTCCCACGCGCGGGAGGTTTATATTTCGTTTGTTGAATCAATCAATTCGCGGCTTAAGATGCTCTACGCAGGTACTCCTCGAGGGAGATCCGAGGCCGGAATTGGAGTTCGCTCGTCGAAGCGGCAGGCACGCTGACGGGGCCGGTCGTCCAAAGCCTGTCGTGCACCAGGAGCTCGTACTCTCCGAACCTGGTAATCTCGCCGATGGCCTCATTATGGTCGAAGATGGATGCCACGTGGAGATCATACTCCAAATGACGAATCGAGGTCTTCCGACCAGCGCGATTCTTCCTGCCTTTCGGCATTTGCGCGAGGCTTCGATTGTTCAATTGTTAAACGAAAGTTTTCAAAGGGTTGTCGTTCAGCGGCGAGCCAATTCGCGTTGCGTTTCGACCTTGTGTGTGAACGATTGAGTCTATCGCGGACAAGAATTTCCAGTCTCCGTCGTGGTAAGTACAGATGAACGCACAACACTTGCTCCGAGAGAACTTCGGCATTCTTGCTATAATGGACGATAAATCAATTTTGAGAATTGTTTAATAACGTGTGAAACCTACCTCGCGAACATTTTCACTAATCGATCGGTGATGGTACGCGCGAAAGAATAGACACGTGGAAGTTCAATTATAATACTAATTTATTTAGATATTCGATTCAAGATTACACTCACGGGATATCGTTCAATAACACAAAAATAAATAATTGAGACTATTTATTTAGAATTAGAAATGAAACTATACCCTAGAAGTACGAATTACGTACTAGAAGTTGAACTATATACTAGATGTGGAAATAAGACGTTTGACGACGCGCACTGAAGTGTCGGAGTTTCGGCAGGCACTGCAGTGCTCTACTGCGGCGGCGCTGTGGCGCAAGATGGCGGATGGCATGGGTACGCCAACGCACGTGGCGTGGCGCGGGTTATGTAGCTAGATGTATATATCTATGGCATGCATTGGTCAGCCAATCAGAACGCGGCTGACCGGGAGTAATGCGCTGTAACATTGTTGAGAGTTTTGTTATAGTAATATTATCTTATAATTAATTGATCGTCTGTGTCGCTAATATGAGCTTATTATTAATATTGATATTGTCGCGTTCGCGGCGTTACTTCCCGAGATCGCGATATTCGGCGGAGCGCTTTCGGAAAGGAAGAACACTGTTTAAGGAAAAACTCGCTCTTTATTAAACTAACGGTACAGAAACGCGTCCGGCCACCGCGGAATCTGGTCGTCAAATCTGTAAAACAGTCGGAGAACGACGCGTTGCCAAGGGCCGATCCTCTATTCAAACTCTTATCGATTGATATTGATTATCTTTTAGCAGCGCCGAACGGAATACCGCACGGTCGCAACACTGCCCCCCTCTTCATAAAATTGTCGTTCCGACAATTCTTCCTCTTTCAAGAACTTTCTCTTGGAAAAGACTTTTGGGCTCCTGGCGACTTCCTGCCCTACCCTGGGCTGCTGCCTCAGGTTACCGGGCGCCGCTACTTCCAATCCCAGTCTTCTCTACTCTTCAGAAGAATCTTGTTCTTGAAATTCTCGCGCGTTTCACTCTTGAGCTTTGCGCACTTCTCTCTTCTATTTTTCGAGCAAAGTGAGGGTAATCATCGTGGACCCTTACGTCTTTTTAAAAGACACACTAAGCCCCTGCCTCGGCATTCGCCCATCGTCCCCCGGAAAAACCACGACTCGGAAAATCGGGGACGAGGCAGACTTCTTTTCAGTTTGAAGCACGAGCTTAAAGATCTTGCTTGGTGCTCAGGCTTGAGGATCTCCCCATGACGCTTCTCACGACGGAAGGAAGCTTAAAGAAAGATAAAACAGAACACAGTAACTCAAAACAATTAACAAGAAATAAAAGTAATGTCGAAATTGGAAAACCGGGCTCTGAAAACCTCTTCTTAGAATTCTTCCCTTTCTCTATACGGAGCTAACCTCGGCATGCACAACCTTGCTTTTCTGACCACCTGAACGAGAAATACAGAAAACTACATCACTAATTTTCTTAATTATCTCAAAAGGCCCCTCCCAATCGTTCTGTAGTTTGGGAGACCTACCCTTCTTACGATGAGGATTAAATAACCAAACCTTCTGTCCTTCCTCAAAAACGGGATGCCTAGCCTTTCGATCATAGCGGCACTTGATCTTCAAAGACCTTGATTCTAATCTCTACTCTGATGAATTTCGTCCAGCCGCAAATTTCGAACGTACTCCTCCGCTGACTCGGAAAAACCATAACTGGGAGGAGTACCTCTCAGCAAATCCATCGGCAAGGTAAGATCTCTTCCGCAAAACAATTCTGAAGGAGTTACGCCTGTAGTCTCATGTTTAGAGGTCCTATAGGCAAGAAGAAACATGGGAATCCAACGATCCCAATCCTTTTGATTCTCTTCAACAAACTTTGACAAATACTGTAGAATTGTCTGATGTTGTTTTTCAACTTGACCATCAGATTGAGGATGAAGAGCGGTCGTCCTCGTTTTCCTAATTCCCAAAATTCTCATCAATTCTTGAAAGAGCTGTGATTCAAAATTCCTTCCTTGATCAGTATGAAGTTCTAACGGGACCCCATATCTAGAAACAACCTGATTAACAAAAATTTCTGCTATCGTAGTAGCTCTCATATTTTTCAAAGGAAAAGCCTCTATCCATTTAGTAAAACAATCAACAACAACTAGGAGATACTTATTACCTGAAGAAGAAACAGGTAACGGGCCTAAAATATCCATCTGAATCCTCTCAAAAGGAGCTCCCGAATTAAAGATCTGCAAAGGAGATTTCCCCTTATCTGCAGCTCCCCTCTTCGCAATACAAATCTTACAGGTTCTGCACCATTCCTCAACATCCTTCTTACAAGTTGCCCAATAAAAACGCTTCCGGATCTTTTCCAGCGTTTTATTGATCCCGAAATGCCCTCCAGAAGGAGTATCATGAGCTTCTTCTAAAATCTGCTTCACTTTGCTTCGCGGGACCATCAACTGAAGAAAACTGTTTTTCAAATTAGGAGCCTCCCATCTCTTATGCAAAATCCCATTTTGGACTTCCAAGGCATGCCATTGATGCCAATAGATCTTAGCTGACAATCCTTTCGAAGAAACTTCCTTCCAAGAAGGTCGCAAATCATTTTCTTGGCAAGTAAAAACCCAGTTCCTGATCCTCTATTTGAGCCCTTCGCCAATCCTCAGAAGAATCCTCACGCAAAACAATACGAACAACTACTTTATCCTCAAAAAACCTCTACTGAACTTCCACTTTAGAACAGAATCTACATTTTCTTCTACACAAGGCGTCTCGAAAGACCATCGGCATTACCATGTATAATCCCCTTTCGATGAGCAAC